CGGCTCCGCGATGCAGCGGCAGCGGGATCCGGGCTCACTTAGGCCGCCGGGGCGGAGCCCAGCCCGCTCCGCCTCCTGCCCGGCTGCAGCCGCGGGGACGCCGGAGCGGATTCGGATTCGGGCTGCTGCATGCAGCGCGGTGCGCCCGCGCAGGGTCCGCTCCAGCCAAACCAGTGCGCTAAGGGGCTGCAAAGAGCACGGAGCTGGGCTGGGCTCAGTGGGGGCAGGCGACAGAAGGAGCAATGGGCTCACCTTGCAGCAGGTTGGACATCGGGAGGGCGGTGAAGCGCTGGAGTCCGCATGCTTGGAGGTGTTGAAGACCCACCTTGGCTGGGACGATGGAGTTGGGGCTGGTCCTGCCTGGAGTAGGGAAGGGGGGGACTCGAGGTCCCTTCCCACCCTCCTTTACTGAGATTCACCCCATGGGCAGACCTAGGATTTGGACAAATGGGTGCAGATGGCATGGCATAGCATGGCAGAGAGGACAACCCTGTTTTTCTCCAGGGAAAGCGTAGCTAGAAACTTTAGTGATGAGCTGGGGGGGGAGGTACTGCTATATTATCCAGCTGCAGAAGAAACTAAAAGCAATGTGCTACAGCAGAGATGAAGAGTGTAGAGGAAGTTTAAAAGAAAACTCAAAACATCATCCTGAGTGCAGGGACAGGACCCTGTAGCCGGAAGCCTGCAGGTTTGAGTGTCAGCCAGAGCATTGGCACAGCTCGGTCGCAATCCCCACCCCTGAATAGCAGCAGAAAGGAAACCAATTCCTTCCCAGCCCCGTGTGGCAGCCCACGAAGCCAATAGCCTGGGCAAAAGCACAGGCTGGGTCCACAGAGAAGCATCCCTTCCTCCCGAAATGGAGCTGCGGTGGGGGTGGTCCCTGGGTGGGGCTGGCTTCACCAGGGGGTTACCGCGGGGTGCCACAGCAGCAGGCCGCGGGAAAGACTGGCGCTTGGGGTTTGATCTCTGCAGCTGTCCAGACTCGTGTAGACGGGGGCTGTATGAAATGGCTTCTGTTTTGTTTCAGGACAGCAGCAAAATAAGGAGAAGGCCCTTTTGGACCTTCCCTGTCCATCTCAAGCACCCCTGGTCATCGCAGCCGGGCATCCATGCTCGCTGGTCAGGAGGACGGCGCTCCCTTTGCAGGCTGCAGGTTTGCAGCGAGGTGAAGGGCAGGGTGCGTGTGTTGGGAGGGGGGTGAATCGGGGACGAGTTCCCCTCTGCAGCCTTCCTCTACACATGGCGCATCTCTGCTCCCTTCTCCTGCCAGGCCTGGCTCAGCCACCCTCATTACATAAAAAGTTCATCCCCCTCTGGACGGCTCCGAACTGGCCTGGTGAAGTGCAATGGGTGTAAGTGCAATGGTTGAGGAACCGGACCTGCGCGGTACGTGCCCCCTGCCCACACAATTGTCCCTCTAGGCCGTTCTGACGGTGCCGATTCCTCGGTGCCTGTCCCCTGGGTCGTAGCTCCAGTAATGCCAATTCTCATGAAAAAAATCACGAGACTCCTGTTTTCCAAGTCATATTAACTGTGACTCACGATCTCCTGATAGAGAGAAAAAATCTCAGGGTTTTTTTTCCTTTTGGTCTGAGTAGAGAGCGCCAAGCTGGTAAGTCTATGGGGGGGGAAAGAAAGGGGGGCAGATCAAGGACCCTTGCTCCCAAAACCACAGCCCCCCCTATGCAACAGAGCCACCCCACACCTTCACAAATAACACCTCCCCCCCACACACACTTCAAAACCAGCATCTCATGATTTACATTCCAAATCTCTTGATTTTTAAGAGTCTGTCTCTTGCTTTTTGACACTGGGGGTGGCAATACTGCAGCTCCCAGGAACACAAGGTTTCAGGAAAAGTAGGAAAGCCCCCACAGAAGTAGGGCAAACTGAGGGGAAACACCGCAGCCAGTGTCAGAACGGCACGGGGGTTGCACGCGAGAGCTCTCGCTGCTCAGAACCACAGCACCGCACGCCCTCAGAGGGAATCGCTGCGCTCTCTGGTTCGAAAGAGGAGGAAAAGCCAACCGTGCAGTAGTTAACGTTGCTAGCGGGTGCGGGGGTGTTGCATTACTGGTGCTTCCAGGAAAGACATGCCCACCGTGCAGCAAGAAGCAACACAGCTAGCGTTTTTTGCAGTCTCGCAGGTGGCAAGAACCATCCGAGGTTCATGAGCCACATCCGACGAGGCTGGATTTAGACCAAACTGCCCTTTATTTCACCCTGCTGAAAGCAAGTCTAATCCACACTATAAGTGAGCCCGCTCCCTGGGATGGAAGATATTTCATTAGCAGGTTGTGGGGGGTGGCGTGTGGTTCTTCGGTTTCATCTTGGCTGGAGGAACTTACCTCCGATAACCTGATAGTGCTGCAGGGCCTCACCCACTTACATATTTTTCCTCCCTTCTCTATGGGGGCAATGAGCCAGAGCTGGTAACATTTTGGAAGAAAGGTAAGGGATTTTTTTTTTCTTTTAAAGAAATAACAAAAGATTTCCACTCTTAATTAGGAAATGGATTAAAGCTGATGTCAAGTGTGCCTAATAATTACTAGGAATTTGATTGGGTTTGGAGGGGGGGCTGAATTTTTCCCAGCTAAAGTCTGCTGGGGAAAATAAAGTCTCATTTGAGTGTTGGGGGGTGAATTGGGGAGGGTCAAGGCAGCTATGTGAGCCAAAGAGGTTTGAAAGGCTGGTGATTCAGAAACTTTGCAGCTGGTTTGATGTGGATCCTTGGCAGCTGTGGGGGATTCAGTTCAGCACAGGCTGCCCTGCATAGCATGATTAAAGGGCTAATATCAGTGTGGGATACAAAGGTTGATGGGGGAGTGGGAAAAGGAAATGGCTGTGAAGATAAGGCTGGAGCTGTTTGCATTGGCTGGGCTTTGTTTGGTTGCTTTGGCTCGTGAGATTTAAGAGGTTATAGGGGTGTTGCTTGGGGTGACGGTCTTGTCGATGCCCCATGTGAAGGGTCCGTGTCCCAGTCTTTGTAGGGACTCCCTTGCAGTCTCTGCTTGGTGGGGAGAAGCAGTCTGCTTTTGGCCCCTGTGTTTGCTTATCCCCCTGGAGAAGCAGAGCAGGGGAAGAG